TTTTTTTTTTTTTTTTCTTTTCCTCTTCCGAAACACCATATCAAATTCAATTTTCTGAGGAATTCAGTTTTTATCTTTTAAGATCAGAGGGTATTTTTTTTTTCCCGATTATGTTTTTTTTTCTAATCTCCGAAAGAAAATTGAATAAGAATCGAGATAAAATGGCTGTTTACAAGCAGAAGAAGAATCGGGCCGGTAAGGGTAACCGGCTTCTGATTAGCGTCACCGTTCTGGGTAGCGCGGGCCCGATTCGGTTCGTGGTAAACGAGGATGAGCCCGTTTCTGCTGTGATTGACCACGCATTGAAATCGTATGCGCGTGAAGGAAGGCTGCCTCTTCTCGGATCCGATTTCAATAACTTTATGCTCTACAGCCCCATTTCTGGAACTGAAGGTACAGAGCTTTCAAGTTCTGTAGATGATTAATCATTTGAATTTATGGTGCTTAGAGAATAATAATTTGAATGCAACTGTTGCAGCTTTGCTTCCATGGGAGACGATCGGGTCATTTGGTGTCAGAAATTTCTTCCTGTGCAAGAAGCCACAAACGGAGACTGTTATTGCCATTGACGATGATAAAGCATCTCCAGTGAGTAAGAAGGGGGCAGCAAGTTGGAAATCATGGTTCCATAAATCTCTCAATACTAAAATATCTCTTCACTGAATTGTTGAAATTCAGGTTCAGTTGAGAGGATGGAATAAGATTCCTTTTGGAAGTCTCGTAATAAAATGGTTTTGTTTCATTCCATGTGACCTTCGTATTGTTTCTCGCATTAATAAAAACATCTTGTTTAGTGCTTTTCATCCGGTGGTTTTTGCTGAAACGGTGGCATGTTGGTCTCGTCTATTTTGGCTGGCTGGATAGTGGTTTTTTTATTTGTTTTAACGAGATAATTACAAAGTTCTATAGCAAACTCAAAAGTTTGAATCATTCCCCTTGAATTTACGAGTCTTTCGAACAATTTATATACAAAGTTCATGGTTTTCCTATCGTCAAAATTTCCATATCGTCAAAATTTACATCACCACAGATCATTATCTTTAGACCCCTCCAATTCGTGACTCTAGATAGTGCCACATACAACTGTCCATGACTGAAGACAGGGTTCTTCAGTAGTAAGCCGACGTGTGAAAGTGAATGGCCTTGACTCTTATTGATAGTCATAGCATATGAAACCATGAGCAGAAATTGTCTGCGTTGAAATTTGAACGGTACCCTCAAATCGGATGGTATGATTGTGAGCCTAGGAATAAGAACCTTGTCACCAGCTCTGGCACCAGTCAAAATCTTGCATTCGAGGACATGGCTGCTGAGCTTAGTGATAACCAATCGTGTACCTGTTGACATCAAAACTCAGAAACAAAAGCATATCACTCAAATTTGTACAATGATAAAAAGAAATATAGACGACAAATGAATTTTGATGAACATTACCGTTACACAACCCCATGGAGTGATCAATGTTTCTGAGAAGCATCACTGGAGTGTCGACCTTAAGGTGCAGTTTATGATTCGGAAGTACAGAGCACTTGATCCCATTGAGAAATTCAGGAGTGTGAAGATCCTGAAGAGAATCATATCCAGCATCTGACTTGCACGCGGTATCCGAACTCAAATAAGACCTTCCCTCAGATGAGTTCATCGAGCTCATGTACTCGTTAACGGACTCAACCACATCAAGTGTGGGAGCGAGTATGGCTCTGTCCTTCACATAGCTAAGATCGTCACCTGCACTCCTAAACATCGGGTAGGTACTCTCAACAATAGTACCAATATGATCCCCTTGTGAGTGTAGAAGAATCGTCGGGGATGTCGATATCGGCACAACCGTCGTTCGATCCACCGACTGTACCATCGCCGATGTTTGCAAGCCACTCAGAGAAGCGCCTCAACTTATTGTACTCATCACCCCACCAAGGCTTCGAAGCCTCATATTCCGAGTCAGTCTCAGAACGATACAACCACGCTACAACTTGGATGAATTGATGGTGGCGTTAACTATGTCGCTCCGACTGTCTTTAGGAACAACATGCAGTATCTGTTTGAAATCCCCACCTAACACAACACACTTGCCGCCAAATAGGATATTTTTCCTTGATGGATCAACTGCTTCCATTAAGGCACGCAAGGTGTTGTCAACTGCCTGGAAGCAATATTTGTTCATCATCGGAGCTTCATCCCAAATGACCAACCGACATCGTATGATGAGTTCGGCCAAAGGACTCTGCTGGCTAATATCACATGTAGAGCCTTCGACTGGATTTAGTTAGATTTTGATCGTGAATGCACAGTTCGTCCACCGGGCAACAAAAGTGATGCGATACCGCTCGATGCAACGTTCAACACAATCTCACCTTTGGATCTCAAAGCAGAAGATAACGCCCTCCAGACATACGTTTAACCGGTGCCGCCGTAACCATAAACGAAAAACATGCGGCCGTAGGTACGGTAAACAGAGTCCATTATCGAGCCATAAACATTGCGCTGCTCATCAGTCATATTGGCAACCAACTCCTGATTCTCAATAGCGAATGCACGACGATCAATTCAACTCGTCCGTCACCAGTCTGTTCGTGAATGCCTCATTACGGTCGATATTAGGGAAAGGCATTGTACTGTAATCGCGTAGAGTCGAACCACGTCTACACAAAATTTTTTCAACCTCCACCAATGCCAGATTCTTTACTTCATCATCACTCAAAACCAATTCTGTAACAACAGTATAGAAAGATTATAAATATAAAGACATACTTCATGAAGGAAAAAAAAAAAAAACAAAACATAACATAAGTATGTTACCGTAATTGATTTATTTACCTGGATGCTGTAAAAGTCTCCGACGATTATATAATATATCATCCTATAGGTAAGGCCAACATGATTCCCACACGAACTCCGGTCGACCGAGAGTATCAGAAGACAACAAAGTAGCAAAAAGTTTCTCAACGAATTGGCACTCGACTACTGGTCGAGAAGGTCTATTGACCGGTCGAGGAGGTTGTATTATGAGGAAAGTAAAGAAATCGAGCAGTTAACCAGTCGACCAATAAGGCTGTCGACCAAACGATCCTTCGACAAGGTGAACGATCGAGTAGTTCAGTCGGCCTCGATAGGTCGACCACTTCGAGGACTTAACACCATGCTGATCGGCCTAGGCACAGGCGCGTGAAAGAGCCTTTAACTGAATTCCAGGAGAATATTTACCCCATGTGCAGGGGGACACGTGTCGAGAAGGCAGTGGTTGATAGCGATAACCACCTCTGACAGCCTACCCCATGTGCAGGGGGACACGCGTCAAAAGGGGATTGGTGCAGGCGATAGTGGCGACGGCTACCTCTGACACAC